TATATATCAGATATTTTTGTTTTCAATATTTAGTTGGTGATTTAGAATGTTGTAAATATTTTAATTTCTTTTGCATAGATATTTTTCTAAGCATTTCTGCATTGAATTGTATATAATTATAATGCATCTTCCATTTTTTTTTTTGTAGTATTTATTTTTTCGTAATCTTTTTTTTTCAACATATAAAAGTTACTATTTTCATTAACATCATATTTAACCAACCCGGCAATCAGATACTTCAACCCGCATTAATTGAATACTGAGCCACTTGTTGAAGATAAGAGTATAACTAACCATGTGAAGCTTTAGGCGGAATGGCTTCCTGACCACTTAGACTTGTAGGACATTTGAAAGCCGATACAGGAAGTTTAAACTTTCCCATTTGAACACTCGAACTCGTGATTCCCTTAACTAATAAATACATTTGACCGTTGACCATGCCTATGTGGAGGAGGTGTAGATGACATGGCAATAATGCGTGCACATCACTGCTATTAGGCGCGTAACTTGCATTTTTTTTGACTAGTTTTTATAAAAGAACAAAAAGGACAATTAAAAAAAAGAAGAAAAAAAGCAAAAGAACTCCTGTTTCTTCCGTCACTCCTCCCTTAGATCCAACAACACCTCTTTCACTCTCTTCTCTCTTTCATCCCATCCTCCGTCCAACTTCTGTTTAAGCATCAGAGTAGGAATAATTCAATGGATACTCATCAAATCCAGATTCAAAGACACTTGTTTAGTAGAATTTTTTTTTGTCACTTTCTTCTCTTTTTTCTCTAATTAATAAAGTTCTCAACTTTGTAATTCACAAAGTGATTTGGGTTCCTGAATTCAGTGCCATGGGTCTCTGTTAAAAGGCTTGAAATCAAGAATTAGGAAAAAAAAATTCAAAACAATTTTGCTTTTTTGGTAATTCTCTATTGTGTAAATTGAGATTTGGATCTTTTTCGATAATAACATCGAAGAAGACGACCGGCTAAAGTATTTCGTCTAGCATCTTTCTTTTTAGATCTGGTCTTTGGATGGTTTCAAGAGTGAGAATTTCAAGAAGGAAAAAAGCGATAATTAGAGAGGATAGGGACTCAATTTTTCTGGTGACTTCTTTTTTCCGGTGGTATGACGTTCATGTTCTCTGATCTAGTTTATTGCCGGTGTCAAACAAATGAAGCACTGGTATTTTTCTGTCAACCTTTGTATGGTGGTTTGAGTGAGAAGACGATTATGGGGGAGAAGTAATGAAGGAGAATTTTCAGAGAGGCATTTAAATGACAATAGCTTAAGAGATTTTATCGGCAAAATTCAGTGGTTTCCGGTTGTATTTCCATAGTGATGAAAGGATGCTTATGGGAGAAGAAGAGTAGGATAATTTTAAATATTGAAAATTAATTCTTATAAAATGGGACATACTCATTACACGTGTCAAACAATAAAAGGCTTAAAATATGACGTGTCATCTTTGTCAGCGCAGTTGAGGATCACGCGTTGGTGGAGGCATTTATAATACCCAATTTATCAAGTTGGCATGTTCAAATAGGAAAGTTGCAAGTTCGTCTATCGGCTTTACAAATGAATGCAAGTTTAAGTGGCCACGATGCCATTTTGCCGAAGTTTTATCATTAGGGAATTGTATAAAATTGTATCAATCGAGCTAATATATCTTTTTTTTACGTTATCTTTAATATTGAAATTCTTTTGAACTTTGAAGTGAGTAATTAGGTGCTTGGACATAAAAATTATAATTTTTAAAAAAAATAATAATTAGAATTAAGTTGAAAAATAGTATTTGAAATTTAAAATAATGTTTGAACATTAAACAAAAAATTCTAAGAATTTTGAAAAAGTGTTTTTTTTTTTAATTTGGAAAACACATTTTCGAAAAAATTTCCAAAAATATGAAAAATTTCATAGACAAATACGTTTTTGAAAAAAAAAATAATCAAAAAACAGAAAAAAATATCTATAGACAAACGGGTCCTAATAATTTAAAGTATAGTCGAAATATCAATGATATGGATTAGATAATGCAATATAATTAAGAAATTAAAGTCAAATTAGAATCAAATTTTCGTATCAAATCAAATAAGGCATATCCAACGAATGAAACAGTCGTGCAGACTGCTAATCATTCACGTCATGTACTTCAAGTAGATAGAGATGTACGTTACATATATTGATAATTGACTTTCGTTTGTCTATATTTTATTTTTGAGTGAGACGATAATTTATTAAATTGGTTCACCTTTTGATATTGAATTATATATAAAAAAAAATTGCACATAGAAAACTATGGATATTTTCCTTTATTTGTTTATTGAATAAAAAAGGAAGGGAAATAAAGAAGAGAAAATGTACGTTTCAGCAAGCCGTACTGAGCAAATTGGAAAGCATTAGCAGATATTTTTCCAAAGTATGTTTTTCTTTAGTATCTAAATTCTAAAATACGGATAAAGTACAGACTCGTTTGTCCATCAAAAATATTTTTTTTATTTTTTCTTCAAAAATGCGTCTGTCCATAAAATTTTGCAAGTTTTCGAAAAAAATTCGAAAATGAGTATTTAAAAATCAAAATTTTCAAAATACTTTTTCCTCACTCACAAAACTGAAAAAAATTTTCAAGTGAAATACATGTCCAAATATACTTTTAAATTTCATATTTCAAATATAATTTTTCAACTTAACTCCAAATACTATTTAATTTTCAAAAATTATAATTTTTATGTCCAAACGCCTACTAAAATTAATTATTTTTTTGTCTTACGAATTTATTTAAAAATAAGGTACTCCCTTCCCTTTGTCTTATATTATATTGTATAGTAAGTAGAACATATGTCATTCTTTTTATGACGAACTAAAAGGAAATTGTATTGAATATAGAGGTGGATGTACAATTTTTATGTTTGCAACATGTTCGATCGAACCAACACATAGTATATATTCTCAAATAAAAGTTATTATTATTTCAACTAGTTAAATAGTAAATTTCGAATCCATAATTTCAAATGTGCAATATATTCAATACTAAAACTTTAAAAGTCGAACTTATTAATTTTAAATCTTGTAACCGTCTTTCGTCACGTAAAATGCTTGACGTTTACATGGCATACGTGACATAATCACCTGTCTTTATTATTTTCTTCCTGCTAGAACTATATATGTGATTTTGAAGAGAAATATAATTTTGTTTGGATATAGTCAATCCAAGATATTTGTCAACTAGGCCATGAGTAATATCTACCAAAACATTAAGTAGAATCTAAATACATTAATATTTAGCCAAAAAGAGTAAAGAAAATGCTGTATGGGAATAACTTAACGGCAATAATTCATCATTTTATTATTTTATAAGTAATGTAATTAATTGTTGATTGATAACTACGATAGTACCAATGGTCAATGTTGTTTCGTTTTGTTACTTATTTGTTTTACTTTTGTTAGGGAGCGTTTGATTAACCTACTAATGCTGAAATTATAGTACACGAATTGTTTTATGCGATGATTAATAATGAATGATTTATTATCCAGTGACTAATAATGAAGTAATTGTAATATTCAAATTGCTTATTGTATACGGTAGAAATTGGAGAGCTCGATTTCGAAGATTAGATTACACTCCGAGCCCGAGTTCTGGAAGCTCGAAGTAAGAATCAAGTCAGCCCCGGATGAGCGCACCTCGAGAAACAAATCGGGGACCCGTCGTGACCTGTCTCGAGGGCAGTATAATCTCGAAGACACTCAAGAAAAAGCGGGAATTTCTCAAGGACACGTGTATCAGGACGTAAACTATAGGATAAGATTTGCACGAAATAGTACAAGTCCGTACTAGGTCATTATACAGCTGTACTAATAGAATTTTTTACTGTAATTGAGGGTTCTCCCTCCTATATAAAGGGGACCCCAATCATTTGTAAGGATATCTCATTCTCTGCAATAGAACATTCTACTCTGATTTTCTTGTTTAACGTGCTCAATAATTGTTCTTCAGCTTTATTGTCTTTACTTTATTGTCCATACTTTATTGCTCTTAGCTCACCTCGAGGCCCCTGAGATAATCGAGCTCGAGGTCCTTATTGCTCTGACAACACTGGTTTGATTCATCAATTCTTCTTACTTAAGCTTTATATTATTCGTATATTCACTACTATTGAAACAAATCACATATCTTTAAAACCACAAATCATATTTAATTGTTACTCACATTTTTTGAAGTAAACACTTATTTTAAAAGTTTAATTTTCTCTTAAATAGTTAATTCCTTCATTGCTAATACACGTCTTTTTATTTCGTATTTCATTTAGCATAAAATAATACATAAATTTTCTGATAAATTAAAGCCTCTTTGACGAGTCCGAATCTTGATTATCAAAATTTTTTTCTTCTTCTTCTTTTTCAATAAGGGAACCCGCAATCACTACTTTTCAGATACGCATAAAATAAACTCTGCTCTTGTATAATAACCTGCAAATCACAACAGGAGGGTAAACAACACTAGGCAAGTCCCGTGCGACGGGCTCGACCGAGGACGTATGCAAGTGTTTTCGAACCCTAAACTTCCCATTTGGGAAGTCCCCCGCTCAATCAACTCAGCCAGCCCAAAGGGTCTTGATTGTCAAAGCTGACACTCTAACTTTTTAAAGCAACTTATTATTAAGTTTTTCCATAGTACAATATTTAAAAAAAAAGAATAACTTTTGAAACTTGTGATATTAAACATATAATATATGTGTGGTTTGTTAAGATTAGAACTTGAATGTAATTATTTAACTTGTATCCACATTTTCTGCAATTAGTTAGTTAGGCTGTTAGTGCTAGTTTTGTAAGTGGCTAGTTTTGTAAGTAGTTAGTTACATTGTTAGTTAGTGTCAGTGAGTAGTTTGTATACATGTATATGTGCACTACCATTTTCTAATTCAATTCAATGAGAATGTTTACTCTCATTCCAAAAGATCTCGAATCTTCTTCTCCTTTCTCTCTCTGAGGTTCATGGCACACAGCCATGGCGGATGAGCTTTAGCTCAAACACTCTCTTCGATAATGCTCAATCTTATCTTGGTATCAGAGAAAGGCTTTATCTACTGAGGTAACTTGCGATCTCCTGTCTCGTTTTTCTCTTCAATTCACAATTGAAGTTTTAGGTCTTTCTCGAAATTGTCAATCACTTTTCTCTCTTGTGAAATCCTGTTCGAAATTGCATTTTTTGCTGTGATCTCGTTTGATTGCAAAAAATCATAGCAACTTCAAGTGTTCTCGAAGGTTTCTCTGTTGAATTCTCGTTTCCTGTCTTCGATTCACGGTTTAGATCAATCGATTTGTAGTTTAAGTAATGGCTGGAGATATTGTAAACAAAGACACTTTAGATACTTCAAGTTCCCTATACATGCATCCGTCGGAGAGTGCAAGTTCTATGTTAGTTCCTGTACTATTTGTTGGCACATGATATAGATCATGGAAGAGAGGTGTACTTAGAGCCCTCTCAGTGAAGAATAAGGTTGGCTTCATAACAGGGAAGTGTCAGAAACCAGTAATTGGACATGCAACCTTTGATCAGTGGGAACGATGTGATGATGTGGTGACTTCGTGGCTTCTGAATTCTCTTTCAAAAGACCTAGCGGACAGTTTACAATATGTAAATGATGCAAAGGAGTTGTGGTAGGAATTAGAAGATAGGTATGATCAAACAAATGGTGCAAAACTCTATCAACTCCAGAAAGAAATCAATGATCTAAGTCAAGGAACTCTGGATATAATAGGCTATTACACTAAGATGAAGAAACTATGGGAAGAATTAAACACATTAAATGCACATGCACAGTGCAGTTGCTAATGCATCTGTGGTGCTAAGGCTAGTATACAGAAAGCTGAGCAAGACAGAAGACTGATACAGTTTTTGATGGGGTTAAATGAGGTGTATACTGTCGTAAGAGGGAGTATACTGATGGTGAATCCTCTTCCAGGTATTGCACAAGCCTTCTCTATCCTCATACAAGAAGAGAAGCAAAGAAAAGTTAGGCCACATAATCAACAGTTGGTAATTGAGTCTACATCACTGAATGCCAATGGCCCAGGAAATAACAGTTTTAGAACCAATTATAATCAACACATGAGTACTTCCTTTGGTGGGAACAACAGCTATGGAAGAGGTTATATGGGAAATAAACCTAGGCCATTCTGTGATTTCTGCAAGAGACCAAAGCACACCAAGGACAAGTGTTACAAAATCCATGGTTATCCACAAAACATGAAGTACAACAATGGTAATAGGGGAAGAAAAATGGCAGCAAATGTATTTGACACAACTGACAATGGAGCAACCTTGACAGATGAAGGGGGAAATTCTCAGGAGCAGGGTAGAACCATGCAGCAACTAACCAAGGAACAATATGGACAACTGCTGAGCATATTGGAAAGCTTCAAGAGTGGAAATAATGGAGACAACTCAGGAAACATCAACATGACTGGTGGTGCTGTTAACTTTGCAGGTATGACTGCTTGTAACACTTCTGTTGATCCAAGTGCACAGTCTTATGAAAGTTTTAAAGAGAATGCTGATTCCTGGATCCTTGACTCAGGAGCCACTAACCATATGACTTATAACAAAGCCTCTTTGAGTAACATCAAAACTCTGGTTTATCCTTTCCTAGTTTCTTTGCCAAATGGATATAAAGTAAAAGTGACAATAGTTGGAGATGTCATTCTCAGTCCTCAATTTACCCTAAAAAGAGTCTTATATGTACCTAGTTTCAAGTTCAATCTGATTTCTGTTCACTCATTGACAGTTCAACTTGATTGCATCATCATATTCACTAAGTTTTCATGTATCCTTCTACAGGGCCTTTCACTGAGGAGGCCTCTGGAGATTGGTAAATTCAGAGACAGCCTTTACCTTCACTATTCAAATTCAAGAAAGAACAGTTCTTCTATCATACCACTCACACACAAATCTGCACCTAGTGCATCCACCTCAGGTAGTCATAGTATCAATAATGTACATTGTCAGCACCATCTTTGTAATTCTGCACCTAGTGCATCCATTCCTCCTCATGTTTGTGACAATAAAAGTGTACAAGTTCCTTTGAATTCCAATAGAACTTCTTTTGACAAAATAGATTCAGTGTGCAGCACATGTAGACGTAGTGACGATCATGTGGATCTCTTGTGGCATAATAGGCTAGGCCATGTACCTTTTATCAAGATGAAGGGTATCAATTCCATACCTATAGCCTCTGCAAGCAAACAACCTTTTATGTGTTCTATCTGTCCTATGGCTAGGCAGAATAGATCTCCTTTCCCAGAAAGAACCACTTCCACCACCAAAGTATTTGAACTCCTCCATGTGGATATGTGGGGCCCTTATCATGCACCAACTCATGACAATCACAGATATTTCATCACCCTAGTTGATGACTATAGTAGATGTACTTGGACACATCTCTTGACTAGTAAAAGCAATGCCCTACATGTCATAAAAGCTTTCTGTGCAATGGTCCAAAACCATTTCAATACCTCAATAAAGACTATCAGAACTGACAATGGTCTGAAGTTTGTGAACACTGAAACAACCATGTTTTTCCAAGCCAAAGGGATCTTACACCAGAAAGCTTGTCCTTATAGCCCTCAATAGAATGGTATAGTCGAAAGAAAACATAAGTACCTCCTTGAAACTGCAAGGGCATTGTTGTACCAGTCCAAACTGCCTATAAGATACTGGGGAGAGTGCATCCTAACTTCTACCTACCTGATCAATACATTGCCATCCTCATCCCTCAAAGGGAAATGTCCTTTTGAGGTTCTATACAAGAAGAAACCAAACTATTCACACCTTAGGAGTTTTGGATGTTTATGCTTTCCTACAAACCTAAAACCTCACAAAGATAAATTTGAACCAAGATCAACTCCACATATTTTCATAAGATACCCTTTTGGATCAAAGGGATACAATTTTCTTAGCCTAGCCACAAGGAAGATTCATGTATCTAGAGATGTGACTTTTCATGAAACAATCTTTCCATTTGCATTACATGGAAACCACACTGATTTGGCATCTAAATATGAACATTTATGTTTTCCTTCTCCTCACATAGGACCTAGTATGAGTCATTTTGATGTTGCTAATCCTACTGTCACTAGTAACAGTGAGAGTCCACATCAACAACTAATGTCACCTGAACTTTCATTTGGCAATGATACTAATCCTATCACTCATGAATCCGGTTCACCAGGATACCAAAGCTCTCCCACTTCAAATGGAACCTCCAACACATCACCTGAGCCTAGTTTTCACCCACAAGATCAACAACAATCCCTTTCAGATAATTCACCAAGCTCAATACAATCTGAACAGACCACAATCCTAACTCACAATAGACCCCAAAGAACACTGAAACCTCCAAGTTATTTGAAAGATTACATTTGCAATGTGCCCACTCTCAATACCACTCACAATACCACTGAAGAACAAGTTACAGAAATTGATCATAGCTCACCCTCACAGTCCTTTTCTTTTCACACACATGTACCCTACTTGCAACCTATATCCTTAAATGCTCTAAGTGGCAGCAGTCAGCACTTGATTGAAAAGCTTTCTATTGACTGTGAACCTGAGTCATATGAAGAAGCAGCAGCTATACCTGCTTGGGAACAGGCCATGAACCAAGAATTTGATACCCTCTACTCTAATCATACTTGGGACCTTATCCCGCTACCTGCAGGAAAGAAAGCTATAGGTTGTAAATGGGTGTATGAAATCAAACATAAGGCAGATGGAAGTGTTGAAAGATTTAAAGCTAGACTAGTTGTCAAGGGTTACACTCAACAAGCAGAAATTGACTACACTGAGACTTTCTCTCCAGTAGTGAAGATGACTACTGTGAGAGCATTAGTTGGTATTGCAGTAAAGAAGAATTGGCATGTTTTTCAACTTGATGTGAACAATGCTTTTCTACATGGAGACCTAAATGAAGAAGTGTACATGCAAGTACCACCAGGACTATTAGTAGAAAAACAGAACTTGGTGTGTAAGCTAAACAAATCCTTTTATGGTTTGAAGCAAGCAAGTAGACAGTGGTATGCTAAGTTGACAGAGGCCCTATGCTCTAAAGGATATGTACATACTATGCTAGACTATTCTCTTTTCTACAAGAAGGAGGGTAAGTCAGTTATTTTTATAGCAATATATGTGGATGATGTCCTCTTGACAGGAACAGATTTGGAAGAAATCAAGGCATTGAAGTCTTTCCTACATGAGACTTCCAAAATAAAGGATCTGGGAAGATTACACTATTTCCTAGGATTGGAGATACTGTACAAACATGATGGAGCAATAATCACGCAAAGAAAGTTCACAAATGATCGGATAAAGGAGTTTGAGTGCTCATACTGCACTCACATGGGCTCTCCACTTGATCCCTCAACAAAGTTGAAAGCCACTGAAGGTACCCTACTCACAGACCCCACTCAATACAGAAAGCTGGTGGGAAAACTAAACTTCCTCACCAACACACGACTTGATATTGCCTACAGTGTCCAACATCTCAGCCAGTACATGCAAAGTCCTCGAGACTCCATCTCAAAGCTGCCATGCATGTACTCAGATATTTGAAAGGTGATCCTCGTATGGGGATACTTCTGTCAAACAGTGGAGATTATAGACTAAGAGCTTTTTGTGATTCAGATTGGGCAGCTTGCCCTGAGACTAGAAAATCACTTAGCGGTTATATTGTATTACTTGGAGACAGTCCAATTAGTTGGAAATCGAAGAAACAGTCCACTGTTTGATTAGAAGTCCAAGAAAGAATGTTAGTTCTCCCATCATGCTCATTTCGAATTCTCCTTTCATGGAATGAGCAAAATCTTCACATAAAGCTGAGTTAGGACTACCAAAAATAATGTCATCAACATAAATTTTGAGTAATAAGATTACCTGAACTAGAATGCTTAATAAAAAGGGTTGTATCGATATTACCTCTTTTGAACCCTTGATTTAAGAGAAAAGAACTTAACCTTTCATACCAGGCACGCTGAGCTTGTTTAAGACCATACAAGGCTCTAGTCAGCTTGTATACATGATTAGGAAAGGAGACGTTTGCAAATCCTGGTGGCTGCTTTACATGCACTTCTTCAGAGATGTAGCCGTTTAGGAATGCGCTTTTGACGTCCATTTGAAACAGCTTGAAACCTTTGTGAGCAGCATAAGCAAGTAATATTTTAATAGATTCAAGTCTTGCTACAGGAGCAACGGTTTCGTCATAGTTAATTCCTTCTTGCTGGGAGTATCCTTGAGCAATCAATCTTGCTTTATTTCGAACCACTTGACCAGATTCATTTAATTTATTTCTGAATACCCATTTAGTTCCAATGATTGAGGAGTTTGAAGGTCTTGGAACCAGCTCCCGTACTTTGCTTCTTTGAAATTGATCTAGTTCCTCTTTCATAGCACCTATCCAGTGTGTATCCTCCAGAGCTTCATCCACCTTCTTTGGCTCAAGTTAAGAGATGAGAGCCACATTAGATTTGTTCTTCTGGGATCTTTTTGTAGTGATTCCTTCATGTGGATCTTCTATAATAAATTTGTGAGGATAGCCAGGTTCTCCCTTCCATTCATTTGGTGTGTTTGAAGGAAGATCTCTTCCTACATAGGTCGACTGATCTGTTTGAGATGGTTCGTGAATTTCTACAGATTCTTCAGCTGGTTGAGTTGGCTAATCAGCTGACTCACTTTGATGATCTTTTCCTGCAATGACAGATTTAGTGACAAAAGGAATTTCCTCATCTTCAGGAGGTTTTTCACTCCTTGGATGAGGGTTAGTATCAACAAAAACAACATGAACTGATTCTTCAATATAGAGAGTTCTTTTATTATAGACTCTATATGCGCTACTTGAAGGAGAGTAACCAAGAAATATACCTTCATCACTTTTAGGATCGAACTTACCCAAATTATCCTTTCAATTGTTATGAATGAAACATTTGCATCCAAAGGGGTGAAAATAGCTAAAATTGGGTTTCTTACCATTCCACAGTTCATATGGAGTCTTTTCAAGAATTGGTCGAATCAGACACCTGTTGATAATATGACAAGCTGTGCTTACAGCTTCTGCCCAAAAATGATGAGGTAGGTGATTTTCCACAATCATAGTTCTTGCCATGTCCTGTAGGGTTCTATTTTTACGTTCTACCACTCCATTTTGTTGTGGAGATCTAGGTGAAGAAAAATTGTGAGAGATTCCTTGATCGTTGCAAAAGTTCTCAAAAGCTCTGCTTTCAAATTCTCCTCCATGATCGCTTCTGATAGACGAGATGTAGTAACCCTTTTTTCATTGAACCTTCTTACAGAAAACTTCAAAATTCTTTAGAGCATCATCTTTATGACTTAAAAACATAACCCAGGTAAATCTAGAAAAATCATCCTCAATAACAAAAGCATATTTTCTACCACCTATGCTAGCAGTTCTAGTTGGACCAAATAAATCCGTATGCAGTAGTTGAAGAGGTTTTGAAGTGGAAACAAACTTTTTGATTTTGAAAGATGAGCGAGTTTGTTTTCCTAGTTGACATGCATCACAAATATGATCTTTTGAAAAATCTAGTTGACTAATGCTGAGAAGATTGTAGCCGAGTTCATCAACCAGGTAAACTTCATCTACATCACATGTTGGGCTTAGAGGAACTTTTCCAACACCAATTACATTTCCTTTGGATTTGTCTCCAAATGTAACTGTTCCTCCATCTAGTTTAGTGACTGTTTTGGACAGTTGTTTGTCACCAGTCATATGTCTGGAACACACGCTTTCGAGATACCATTTTCCTTTTCGATTCTTCTTGCGGTGTTCCTGCAAAACAAAATTACTTGTTTTTAGGTACCCAAGCTTGCTTGGGTCCTGAAAGATTAGACTGCTGAGTGTTAGTTTGATTAGAAGATTTTGGTCACCAGACCCATCTTCTCTTGTCCTTAAACCTGCAGCGATTTGAAGTGTGGCCCTTTTTCCCACAATAAAAATAAGATGGACTATTTTTAGAATCCTTTTCTGTTCCTGCATTGGTTAGTATTATGTCCATTCTTACCACAGAAGGAACACCCATGAGATTTCTTCTGTTTGTGATGAACAGTCTGATTTGATTTGACTGAACTATGACTAGTAGATTTCTGCAATCCAATCAATTGCAGTTAGAGTTCATTTACTTCTTCTTGTAGCATATCACGTTCAATTTCACAGACCTCTAGCTTCAGAGCCCATTCTTTCTTTTCTCTTTGAATCTTTCTAAGTTCATTTAGAACTCTTTCAATATCTGCAAGAGCAATATCAATGAATTCTTGTTCATAACAGTTAGGGCAATTTAGGGGACGTACCTCACTAGTTCGTTCATCTGCCATGAGACCAAGTTGATCTGAGTCTTCTTTTTCATTTATTCCTCTGTTTCCTGAGGACCCAAGCTCTCCTGATTCTTCATTGCTATCATCTTCTAGGGCCATGAAGCACATGTTTGCAATTTCTTCATGATCAAATTCTTCTTCATCACTCCAGGCTCCAAAAGACTTCTTTCTTTGAAGATTCCTGCTCAGCTTCTTTTTTTGTTCTGGACAGTCAGCTTGAATGTGTCCATGTTTACCACATTCATAGCATCTTCCATCATTTTCATTGTTTATCCTTCCCTTTCTAAAATTTGGTATACCTTTTCTGCTATTTCTATTTTTCCTCATCATACTGGTTACAACTTGAGAAAGCATGGCTATGTTTTCATCTTGTTCTCCTCCTTCATTTTCTTCTTCATCTTCTGGTTCAGCCATAGTTGCTTTGAAAGCGACTGTTTTCTTCTTTTCTTGTTGAATCTGTCTATGCAAGTGAGTTTTCTCAAAAGCAATTAGATCACCTCTGAGTTCATCGTAGGACATTTTATCAAGATCCTGACATTCGAGTGCGATGACTTTTGGCTGCCAAATGTAGGTAGACTTCTGAGGATTTTTCTGACTTGTTCTCCACTTTTTATTGTTCTACCAAAGGATTTCAAATCTCCAAGAATTTTGCTGAAACTGAAGAACATTGCTTCAGCAGATTCTCCATCCTTCATTTGAAATAGCTCATACTCTCGAACCAATAGATTTATCCTTGTTTCTTTTACTTTGCTTGTCCCTTCATATGTGACTTCCAATTTATCCCACATTTCCTTAGCAGTTTCACAGCTTGAGATTTTTTTATATTCTTCACCATTGATAGCATTGTACAACAAATTTTTTGCTTTGGCATTTACAGTTATAACAGCAGCTTGCTCATCGGTGAAATCATCCAAGTCAAGTGGATCAGTAGATATTATAACTTGACCATTTTTGTCTTTCCTTGGGGGAATTGGAAGATTTTCCTTTTTGATCACTCGCCAGACTTTGATGTCATAAGACATGGTGTATGTTTCCATACGCACCTTCCAATGAGAGAAATGTTGTCCATTGAAGTATGGTGGTCGAACTTGAGATGTTCCCTCTTGAAATAGTGCATCAACGACTGTGTTTGATCCCATGATCTTTTCCTCACTAGCTGTTAAGCAAAGTTTGTGAGCCTTTCTCTGATACCAATTGAAAGTACAAGAGGGGGAGGGGGGGTGAATTGTGGTCTGTTAAAAATTTAGTCGACTAATGGTGATTTTAGTTGACTAGATCGAGAGAAGAAGTAAAGTGACAGTAAATAAATAGAGAAAGACACACAATAATTTTATATTAGTTCGGTACCGGTGTGGTACTTACATCCAGTTTCCCTTGGGTCATAAAGGTTCCTTTTAGATCTTGAAAGAATTACAACAGGGATGGTTTTGATTCGTTCACCACCAAGAAGTACAGTAATCAGTGAATCTTAATAATGATACAACTCTCTTTTGTGATCTAACTTCTTCCTATCTTTTGAGACACTGATAAACTTTAGATTACAGTGTTAGGCTAAGAAGTAGGGAGACTTAGAAGACAATGTATGTAGTTGCGCAAGCCTTCCTATTGAACCAAGCAACCTTCTTATACATGAGGAAAATAGCCGTTGAGTCCTTGACCAGAAATAGAGGCACGAGATCTTTGAAAGAACTTGATCCAAGGGGTGCCTCTTCGAATTCTGTTCTTTGGGAAAGACCAGATTCGATTGTGACTTTCCTTTGTCACAACTTTTCATTTACGAGACAGTCAATCCCTTGACTGAGCTTTAATTGAGGAGGCCGAATATGGCAATAACTCCTTGATTGGAAAACGGATTGCCTTGATTGAGGCTGAGTAGATCAGCAGCCTTTTGGTTCCTTCGATAGGTCCATTGATTTAGCAATCACATTTTTAGATAGCTTGAGATTGCTTTTCTTTTCCTTTTGATGATTCCTGCGAAATAGAACAGTTAAACATTGTCATCATTGAAACCTTGGAATTTAACTTAACAAATTTAACACTAAATCATTCAAAAAATTCCTTTAAAACAACTTTCAATTTATATCCGTCTGCAGCAAACTCGAATAGCATTTCCGATTTTCAAATACTCCACAATTTAACGTGAAGAAGAAGGCCCAATTTAAATTCACGATGATTATAATTATATGTTATTAAGTGTAAAATGGAAAATCAGAAGTCTTTCATTTTTATCCTAAATTTTGTGCCCAATTAATATACTGTCATAAAAATCAAAACGGAGGAAAAAATAATATCGCGTTCCCACTTGCAATTTGCTTGAGATTGTGAGATGTTTTGGGCTGTCTCCTTTTATCTTTTACTGCCATATTTGTTAATCATTAATTAATACTAATCTTTTGTATTATATTTTTAATAGTGTGTTATAAATGAAAGTAGCCCTTTTGTTTTCTTGAGCCGAGGGTCTTTCGGAAACAATTTCTTTACTCCTTCGGGTAGGGGTAAGGTATGCGTACACACTACCCTCCCTAGACCCCATTAGTGGGATTTGTCACACCTCCTTTTTTACTACTACATCCCCGGAAGGGTGTAATAAAGGAGTTTTTCCAATTAAAGGACAATCGAAACGGGAATCGTTTATTAAGAAGTTCAGAGTCGCCACTTGGGAGATTTATGGTGTCCCAAGTCACCGGTTTGAATCCCAAATCGAGGAAAGGGTTTGACTCTGTTTAACAGTCGCGAACCAGAAATCCGAGCAAGGAATTCTGTTAACCCGGGAGAAGGGGTTAGGCACTCCCGAATTCCGTGGTTCTAGCACGGTCGCTCAACTGCTATATTTGGCTAAAGTCCAATTTTAAATACATGCTATCCTATTTCAATTTCAGAATTGTTTAACCGCTTTTAATTAGTTTTTATGAAAGTGAACGTCGTTTAAGAGCGCGTTTTTGGATCACGTCACATGAAATGCACCCAGATCCTCGACACCTCTTATTCAACGTTTTGGGATTTGAATTTGGGTCGCATGAAATGCACACCCGTATTTAGGAAGGTAAAATTATTTAAAGCGCGCCTAAAGCGACTAACGTATTATTAACTTCGCGGGAGGCCGTGAAAATTCTCTAAACGGCACACCCCAAATTCTAAGTATTTTAATATAAGTATTTAAGAGGGCCCCGCAATGTATGCATTTTGTTTAGCGAGGCTCATCTCAATTTATTATTTAAAGGCCCATCCTAAAGTAACTACAATTTTCTATTTAATTTGTCTCTAATAAATAAAAGAAGTCCTAATTAATTTGTTACTGGACTAACGCCAACCGAATGGTAACTCGGCACCATAGTCCAATTATTGGGCTCCAAGATAAGCCCAACGAAGAGACGTTTCACCTGGGACTGCACGATTTCATCTGATCTATCCAACGCAACCTCACTTCAACAAACGCGAGTCTGCTAAGTTACTTCAAGCTATTTTAAGTGCACTCAACAACTGGTAACAAGAAAAAGCAAGGTATACTTATTCAAATTAACAGGCCAGGGATTGTTTAAGCTTAGCTTCATGCTCAGGTTATTATTCTTATCTATTTGCCTATTGATGACTTTTTAAACACCACGGAAGACGAAAAGCGGACTGAGAAATATGGATGGAATTCGACAACAACAATTCATATCATAAACCTTAAATGACTAGACTGAACGGTTTGATCACACGATTCTACTAACGCTAACACGAACGGGTTAAGTAATTCAAAACAGTCTAAGTAATGATGCATGTTTAATTTAAATAAACTACTGATCTGAGCCATTAATCTAAAATTATTAACACCTGCATATTAAGAACTAATCTGCTGATATGAATTACTGCAGTGCAACGCATGTTCAGCTTGAAATTAAACTTGATTTCAAAATCAAACGCAAATCCAACTGTTTCTGATTCTTCTTTTTAAAACAGAAATAAACATTAAACTAAGCAGGTACTAACTATACGAAAACTACAACTAGGTGACCACAAGTTAAAACAATCCAAAAACAATCCAGTTAAGTACATATGAAAGCCTACTGACATTCTACACTACATTAGCCGCACAACTGAACCAAATTAAACTGTTAACTATAGAATTCTCATGCTCATAGGAATACATCTAATTAGTTTAATCGTCCACAAGCCAAACAGTCCCCAGTTATTATAGTTCAGGACAGTCCTAGTTTAATTACAGTGAACAACCAATAGCATCACAAAAAAAAACTATCCAAAACACAACAAAAATTATCAAAATGACAAACTACAGCAGGAATTTGGATCCAGTTTCATTTCATGCTTCCATCTCAAAGCCACATTAATTTGAGTTCAATTGTGTACCTGGAAATGCAAAGTAACAAAAGGAAAGAGGAGAATCAGCAGCAGTTTACACAGTAACCACAGCAACAGGATCAGTAGCAAATCGACCCAGGAATTAGTCAGAGACGAAATAAACCAGTAGGAACCTAATGCCCTTGCTTGAAATCAAATCTAGACTCGAATTTGAACCAAAAACAACTTCTGAAACTTTCAGCAACTAGAGATAACCAGAAAAGCTTGAACAAAACCAAAAACTACTTGAAGTTGAATGCTAGGAACTCGGATTAACAATCAAACTTGCAATTCAGATCTGGAATCATAATGTAACCGTATATTTTTGGGGGTTTTGTGTTGTTTCTACTTTTTTTTGGTTTTTGAAGGTTTTTGGAATTTGAAATTCAAATTTGATTTGAAATTTGTGGAGCAATTTTTTGGAAGGAATTTTCAGGCTCCAAAACTTGTTAATCAAGGCACTAGGGCTGCCTTTTATAGGCAAAGAAAGGGGGCAGAATGTTCTGGAAGAGTTTACTCATTTTCCCCCTCTTTTTATTTTCAGAAATTGCATATTAATCCTAAAGTTGTGGCTTGTTGCCCAAGTTACTGCTCTAAAAATGCAGAAACTTACACTAAGACCCCCTTCTAGAAGGACCTAGGGTGTTTTTCTACCTATGGAATACCTATACTACCCTTGTTTTTGTTTTGAAATTACTGGCCCTTAACAAACCAGCCCATTTTGGATGCCTAAACTACCGTTGATTGCCCCTAAAATTACTAACCTTAGTATGAACTATAACCCCCAGCCCCCTTTTACCTCAGTTACCCTTAACTATAGATGAACCTAGTGAGTCTAAATCAGCTATATCCAAATGACTAGATTAATAGTGTCTAACTAATTATCACCAAAGAAACACTAATCAAACAAAATTAATAACTGAAATCAACTACTAACTAACATGACTGACCCAAAAATTAAAGCATATATCAATACTAAATTGAAACACATATTCGAACAGAAATTAACCTAATATCAAAATCACTAAAACACGATTAATCAAAGCAGACTAACTAATACTGACTTAGACAACATCAGAATCAGAGAAAAATAAAAATAAAGTAAAAGAAAAATGACTATGAAAACCTACTAATTTGGTTAAAGCAAATATCAGAACAAGATTAAGCAAAACAAAACAGAACTTAATCATCACAGAATAAAAAACGAAATCAAACGAAAAGGAATGAAAGAACAAACTCACTGGTATGGTCTTCATTTGACTGATTCAAGTCTGACGAGTTTTTCTTGGATTTATAAGGATTATAATCGTCCTTAATTATGTGTTTTCATGAGAAAACACATAATTAAGGGCTATTATAGCCCAGACATCAAAGAGCCCCAAGTTTATAGATTAGGGTTCTGATCGACTTTCGATCTGAAATTCGAGGAGATGAGTGAGGGTTCGAAGGAAACATGCCATGGATTTGTAAAGAGGGAGATAAGGAGGTTATGTGGTAAAAATTTGGGGCCATTTGGTGGTGGCGCCGCCGTGGGCGGTAGTGGCGGCGCCTAGGGTTTGGAGGATTTGGGGTGTTCGGTTAGGATTTGGAGGAAAATAATGACGGATATGGGATGGGGAGATGAAGGAGATGACATGGTGAAATTTTGGGCGTGATTGGAGCATCGCCGCCGGCGGAGGCGATTTTCGGCCGGCGGCGGACGGCGGTGGAGCGGTGGTGTATATAGGGGTGTGAGAGAGATGACCTGATAGGGGGTGGGGTGGGGTTTGGACATATATATATCAAGTGATGGGGACTT